ATGTGCGTGTGCATATCTATGTATGCACATATACGGAAATTTGTATGCATTTCGATATCGAAATGTCTTTCGATATCGAAAGACATGCGTTTAATCAAAAGCTTACACGAGCGAATATTGGGCAAACCTTGCGTAATTGAAATATATATGTAAAAAACCAATCGCTAGTGCAGTATGAGAAATGTCTTACGCATTTCCTATCCAACGTGATTGTAAATTCCGACACCAGGAAAGCTACTCGCTTTGCGTTTTAAATTAGGATAGGCATACTACCTTGCCACATTCATTTGATAAAACAAAATTCCAAAATTGGTCTTCACTCAGAACATGTTCGTCAGATGACTATTCATCAGCATAATTTTCACCGAATGACGGCTAAAAAGAAGGTCTTAGACGCACGGATACGAACATCCCCCCCAATAAGCATTTGTTTTATATTTGCCAGGCAGCCCTACATACGAGCAAATTAAAATCCCCAGAACGATCCTATATTTTTACGTACGTCGCTGAAGTTCTTCTTCTGAATGTCAAATATTTTTAATTCAATAAATAGGAGTTCTGAGACTTTTAATCTTGGAATACAGTTGGCTTAGATTTCCCATTTTACTTGGACACAACACTGCACTCTAAGCACGTGTGAAGTTATTGTATTTTTTGATAAAAAATGGTTACGTCGGCTGAGCAGTTAATTGTCTACTTTGCATACTGATTAAATAATAAACTTACGAAGCGAATACCATAGAAAACACTGTTAAATATAACCTCGACCTTGTCTAGTCCGCATCATCAGCTCCTTCCTATCCAACAGCTACCATTAAGTCATGGTTAGTGATTGCTTTTCGCATCTTCCCACAGATACCTGTGGCAAACTTCAAGACATTATTCTGTGTCAACTAAATCAATGACAATTCGACAGTTAGCAGAAATTCACACACCCTTTTCTTGTATAATGTCTGGCCATTTGCAATTTTTTCACAGCTGGTCTCATTCCTTATATCAAAAATGGGCGGCAGCATTCGGGAATGGGAAGGACAGACATACGATAAAGTCTTAAGTTAATTTCAGAAAACTACAAATTAAACGAAATAAATCCGCGAGTCTGGGTAGATAAGATTAAAATATCGGATGAGGTTGGCTGCGCTGACGACCCAATATGGTACAAATAAATATAGACAAACTATTTGCCTTGTCGACCAATTGACTTCTTAGGAATAATGTATCCAAGCGTGTGGTCCCACACATAAGGCGCGATCGAAAAGTATCTCAAATCGACCTTTACGACTGAAAGTGTATCCATTTTTTCCCAACTATGGCTTAGACGGCGGTCCAAAAATTTATAATATATTTTTCGCCGAAGTGTCTGTTCGTCAGGTTTTGTTAGCGTGATATTAATCAAAACCGCCTGCTGCCGGCGATATCCCACCCAAACTACTTAAATAGCCTACTGAGGAGCTAGCTTAACCGCATTAGATGCTTTTCAAAGCTCATTTGAAGCTGGCTGTTTACCCGCCAATTGGAAATCTGCACGGATCGTACCATTGCTGCAGCTTTTTCGGATAAACTGTCAACTTAATCCATTACTGTACACACACCTTTCGTTTGTATCGTACATTTGAAGTCAGTTTTTTTTTCACTCAAAACAAACTCTCTTTTTCGCCTACAATTGACCAAGCACAAAACTACAGCAAAGCCAATATTGACTACAGAAGAGGGAGTTTGTCTTCGATTTTTCCTGTCTCCCAGGGTTTAAAGGGCGCTCAAGGGGTGCTTTACCAATTAACCTTATTTTGACCCTGTCTGTAAAATGGTAATAAATA